GTACACATTTACTTTTAAAATTCACCTACACAATATTTACACTGCAAGATAAGATTTATCGGACTTGAAGGGAATGTACAACATTTGCTTTTGCTGCAATTTTCAGAAATAAATGGATTTGGAGGATTAGTATGTTATAGCAAATATTGTTAAAAAGATTTTTTTCGCATTTGGGCTTGTAGATGCCCGAAAAGCCAAGAAAACCAGACATGTATTTGCAGTCTGGTGACCCCACTTATAAGATAAAACGGAGCAATTAATAGACTTTGGGGAATTGTAAGGTCAGAGAATCAGTCTAGCTAGCAGACTTGTACCTCTTCACAGGTGTGTAATCAATTGCAAAGAAAATGCGGAATAACTAATTATGAAAAATTCGAAGCAATTTTTGAAAAATAGCCAGTTTTCTCCAATGCTGGTCGGCCGACCAGCGTTGGAAAAGTACAATTTTTCTTTAAAATGTCAGCACATCAGGAGCCACGATTTTACAGGATGCTTTAGACTGTCATTCCCCAACAATCCAGTAAGGTATTTTGCGATAATTTGATCATTTCGTTTTGTGATGTTTGCAAATGTTGTATCTTCCCTTTAAAGAAAGGCAGTAAACATTTAATGTTTTTACAGATGAAATAAAGAAATGAAGTCAGAATATCACACAATATTGGAAAAGAATGTTGCAACCTGACCCCACTTCAGCGGTTGTGTTCAAAGTCTATGGAGCGTCAAGAACATTTTCTCTGAAGTATTTCTCAGTCCCAGATTCATGTCTTATCATCATTTTTGAAATGAATGACCTTATTGAGACGAAATGAAGAAAAAGCAGCATCAGGTTGCAACATTCTGTCCCAATATTGTACATGAAAAAAATATAGTATTGACAATGTGATAGATAGACGGAGAGGCTCCTGCTGCACTCTAAAAACAACTTAGTCAAAATATTGACTAGTTTTCCCAGTTATTGGAAATTGAATAGGAATTTAGTTAAACATGCAAAGTTCAATACTATGACTAGAAACGTAGTTGGGTTCGACTCCAATTTCAGTTATTTGCATAACTACTTTTCCAAAGTCAATAATACTGACTGGAAAAATCTAGTCAGATTGACTGATTTTCAGTTGCACCCAGCTGACCCTGAATGGCTAGTCAAATTTGACTGGTTTCTAGTCAAATCTGACTAATGCTTTTTTAGAGTGTGGCAGAAATTGTGTGCTAAGCAGCGCTATGAAATTGGGCTCAGTTCAAATCACTCATCTTCAATTTGTTTCCTGCCTTCTGGACCTTACACCCTAATTACCTGACAAACGTGATCTGAAAACTTGTACATGTATATTTATATCAATATAAACCATTAATTAGTATAATTACATTACGTACAGATGACTACCCCCCTCCTTGAATAACCATTCCTGGCCCATTCTCATGCCGTTGGGTTGTCTCTAAACAGGCCCCAGAAACTCCAAGACAACAAACTTGCAAATTGAGTTGTCTTTTTATTTATGACGTGAACCTTTATAATTATGATATGAACATTTTAATGCTACCTGACTGACTGTCCGACCGAGTCACTGACCGAGTCACCAACCGAGTAACTGAGTTACTGACTGAGCCACTGACTGACCGAGTCACTGAGAGAGTCACTGACCGAGTCACTTACTGAGACACTGAACAAGTCACTGTGTCGCTCAATAAGTCACCGAGTGATTCACTAACCGAGTCGCTGACCGAATCACTGACCGAGTCACTGACCGAGTCACTGACCGAGTCACTGACCGAGTCACTGACCGAGTCACTGACCGAGTCACTGACCGAGTCACTGACCGAGTCACTGACCGAGTCACTGACCGAGTCACTGACTGAATCTGACTCAAACACTGAGTCGCTGATCGAGTCACTGAGTTGTTGACTGAGTCACTGACTGAGTCACAGAGTCCAGCTTAACTAGGCAAGCCTACTTTGTTTTATGCCATGAGAGACTAGCCTCTCTCCAGAACTGTTGTTTTCTCCTGCATAACCACCTTGCCAAAGCTAAATAAAGAAATGTTTCAAGGCAAATTTGCCAATGTGAAGACCAATTAAATCACTCCTAAATTAATCAACAGTATTGTTCCATTATTTTATTTTTGGAAAATCCCTTTGCAAGCAGGAGTTTCTTGGAATGTACAAATTTAAACAATCTCAAGACTAGGATAGGGACCACCTCAGGAAACTGGTGCCCTGTTGTCCTTGGCCCACTTCTTCATGACACGGATGATGTATTCCACCTGTGGGTTACCGGTGTTGCGCAAGATTTGGAGGATGTCTCGCAGTGTTTCTCTGTAGAGGGAAAAAAATGACAAAAATCTAGTGGCTTGAACTTCACTGGGTTTTGTGCACATGAAGATGAAAGCTATTAACAAGATGGACTTTGCGTCGGGGTGATGTAAATCAATGTTAGGTTTTGCCCTTCACCGATGTATAAACACTGTATACTCGGTGTGTTACCTCCCGAGTGAAAGTTGGGAAAATAATCACTTGGGTGGGATTCGAACCCACGACTCGACCATGGAGCTTACGGGGTTGGTTGGCTGGCCAGGCAACCAATTCTGTAAGCTTGATGGTCCAGTGGTTAAGACGTCTGCACTAAAAAGCAGGAGGTCATGGGTTCGAGTCCCAACAGAGTGATTTTTCCAACTTTAACTCGGGAGGTAACGCACTGAGTATACAGTGTTTATACGTCAGTGAAGGGCAAAACCTAATAGTGAAAATGAAAGCTGTTTATAGAATATTGGGGGAAAAAGGAAAAATCCATAAAGATCAATGAATTTGAACTAGAGGGCTAAGAACGTGAAAAGTATTCATGAAAATTTGTAATAAAAAGCCATATCCTCTCTGAGTGATCCCCGTTTGATATTTGCCAGGTCTGCATCGTGACTTTGGGCGTGATCCCTGGCTGCATGGCATATGCGGGTTGAGGGCTTCTGACTAGCGCCCCTTTGACAGAGACATTGACAATTAGGGAACCGCCAACATTGGGCTGGATAGCTCAGTTGGTAGAGCACCGGAGTGATATACTAATTGAGATGTGATTGGTCAGTGCGCACTGTTTGATTGATGTACTGTGGTCACCTGACCAAAGGTTGAGATGTAATTGGTCAGTGTGCACTGCTGATTGACAGAGATGACACCCACCTTGGTTCATGGCCAGCTATGATCTGCTGGAATACGCCCACGCACGCCCCTCCCTTGCCTTCCCAGTATTCAGGATTGGGGTCCAATCTTTACATCGGAAGCCTTAGCTGCATAGTAGAACTGGCCCATCTGCTGATAGAAAAGTTGGAATATGAAAATTGAGAAGAGACCGTGACAATTATTTGAGGTCGAGCAAAAAAATCAGCAGTTCGAACCAAAAGCCTGAAGTTTTCTATCATATCCCCACCGTGTTGACAAAGTGATGAATTTTTATAAGATGTTCAAGTGATGAATTTGTCCAAAATCAATATTTGAAGCAGTTTGGGATTTTTGGCTATTCTAATATTTTATGATGCCCTCTACATGTTTATCAAAGTTTGCAACACAAAAGTGCATACTTCATTATTCAAGGTGGTTCAAAGTGGTAAATGTGCAATGAATCAGTTTTTTCCCCCCGATTTGACAGGGATTCGTCACTTATTCTCGTTTATTCTACACGTGGAAACAATGTTGCAACCTGACACAACATTTGTCTTCACACGTCATCTCAATAAAGATCAGTCATTGCAGAAATGTTTCACAAACATGAATCTGGGACTGAGAAACACTTCCAATTTGGTTCAGAAATACTTGGAAAGTTTTCTTGACTCTCCATCGACTTTGTACACAACTGCTGAAGTAGTGTCTGGATACTGCATTCTTTTCTACACTTGCGTTATATTTAGATTTATGTCTCCTCTACGATTTGCGTTTGGACGAAGTGACAAATCTGTTTCGTGAAATCGGCTGCAGGTTGAGATTGAGTGACTGGATACTAATTTGGGGCTAATGCCAAAATCTTGACCAAACATACAACGGACAAAATTAGGGGATGATGTTTTACCTTGTAGCCGTCGTTGGCAATGAGCTACAGCAGGCTGAACGATTCGCCAGACGTCTCCATCTTAAGGTACAACTCCCAGGCTAGTCTGGCCTTACGATTCATGATGTCTGAACAACGAAAACAACACAAAGAAAGGTTATAAATACATAGGATACTGCTGTAAGAAAACACATTGGGGTCCACAAAAGATGTTCGGTTCAGTGGATGCTCGTTTCAGCAATTTTCGGCCAGCAATGCTCAGTGTAACTGTGTACAATATTTGGGAGCCAAGAGGGATGTTCAACGTAACAAATTTCTGTCGTACAATTTGCTTGAAATGTGATAGAACAAATCCAACATGGCAAATGTATGACTAAGATGTGAAGTTTACACGTGTATAAACGAAAAAACTTCTTAATCCGTTTACAAATTTCTCAAAACATGTAAACCAGAATTATAGAAAAGGGAATTCTGTTCACGCGATCTTCCTTGGAGATAACCACACATAGCACAAATAATTAACGTTGTTTTCAAACCTACTTAATTTACAAAACCTTAGAAGCACCGTAGTACTTGATTACATTTGGGGAACACGTAGTTACATTTTTACTTTATCAACGACTGCCTGCTATTTACTATGTCAACCATTGTTGATTTATCATGTCAATCACGCCGGTCTGCAGATCAGACATAATGGGTAGGCAAAAGCCACTGTCAATGGCTAAACGTTTAAAACGGTTCTTAAAATATTTGCTTAACGTTTACAAAATGAAACGCAAAGTCACATCCTTAATATACGATCAGGGCGATGATTGCATGCTGGTTATGTCATTGTTAGAGACCCTTCAGTCTACCTCACACATGGGCAACATGTGCATCTCCCTAATGCCACTCTGGATTTTACAGCAGTACATGAAATGCATGCACGTGACATGTCGTGACTTTAGTTGGACATTTGGTTGTGCAGTCACAATTGTGAGTGGTCAATACATTATGAGTTGAGGCTTAACAGGTGGATTCATTCCCAAAATTAGCAACTTTGAAGTTGGAAGAGGAAACGTCATTCACAATTGACGGTAATACTCACAGCATCTTGCCAACCAGAGACACGTGTAGTCATTCTTGATCTTCTCACTCTGAATGAGCTCAAAAATCTGGAAAACAAGAAAAACGAAACCCACTCCAATTAAATCATGGTAAAACAAAGTGTTCCCACCAAAACAGTGGTCTAAGAGGCACAGAAAGATCCCCATCCGGGTTTTAGACTTGTTTTTTTATGCCTATTTGCCCTAAACAAGGCTAAAAGCCACTCCAGATATACAGGGCTACAAGTCGGAGCAAAGCAGCTAAATCAACCCCACCATCTCTGCCCTCATAGGCACCCACTTATAAGCCATCAGTGTGGGGGTTTGGTCAGTATCAAATGAGGGGAATAATGCTCATTGTGATTTTTGGCAAGGTATGCACCCCTCTAGTCGGAAAATATGTGACAGCATTGCAGCAGTGGCAGCTTTTTGGGTGCTATCCCTTTTTAAATTATTTTTAAATGGCAGCCAAAATATGCTTGTTACAACATACAATTTATCCGGTTCAAGCATATTGACGGCAATTTTGAAAACACAAATCAAAAGTGATAACACTGCCACCACTCACACTGCAAAGCTATCACACATTCTCCAACTCTAGATGTGCCTTTCAAAAAATCGCTATGAGCATTGCTCTTTTCAATCGTCTGGTACCGGTGGCCCATTTTTTGGACCAAAGCTGAGAGCCTATTACTCCTGGGTGGGGAGAAGCAATGAGTGACAAAGTGCCTTGCCCAAGGGCACACGCACCATGACCCCAGGCTGGACTCGAACCCACAACCTGCAGCTTTACCCGCAGACCACGAATCCAACGCCCTTAACCACGAGGCCACAGCACTCCACACTCCTCTTGAATCAGGACAGATCATAGGTTGGAGGGAAATAAGCACCAGGCAAGGAATTCCACAGAGATGAAGCATGTGGGAAAATAAGCTATTGGAATATCTTTTTGTTCTACATCTAGGTATACGGCAACAGTATATGGATGAGAACAGACAGAAAGTCAGGCTTCTCTCTCAAACAGGGCCTACCATCGGTGGAAATTGATACAAAATTCCACTTGTCTTGAAAATGACAGCACACCAGGTGCCGTGATTTCACAGGATGCTTGAGACTATTATTCCCGAACAGTCAGGTATTTCATAATAACTTGGTAGTTTTGGTTTTTGATGTTTGCAAATGAAAGGCACCATGACTAGTTCAGGCACCATGACGAGTCGCTGTGCCATGACTGGCCAACTATTGAGGGCGCAAACAACCAAAATTGGGTCCGGGAGTCCAACCTACCTCCTCTGCTTCCTTGTAGTTGCCTGCTGTGGCTTTGGCCTGCGCATAGTTGTAGTTGAACCTATCGTCGTTGTTGAAGTAACTCTAGAAACGTAAACATACAAAAATGTCATCTTAGTTTTTCTGATAATTTTCCCACCTGCACTACTTTTTTCCCCCTAAAAAGGACAAATACAGCTAAACCAAAACTATGAGCAAGTTGGGGCGAGACTAGTGGTCGATTCCTGACGTAATTTGATGCCTGAGCACTAATATCAACATGCAAATGCCTATAGTCAGACAATGGTCAAAATTGTTCACCAAATAAAGAGAATGGTCAAGAATAATTCAAAAAAAAAATTGGTCCTAAATATTAGAGGGCGATTGGCAATAAATATTGTCAGGTTTTTGGAGAAAAGTTCAAAAACAAATAGTGTCTAACATTAAATGCATTAGATAAAATTACCTCCGAGCAAATATGCAGTCCTATGCCCCCTGTCTGTCTGGCTTCAACTCCATTTTCAAAGCTGTTAATGAAATAAAATGAATCAATAAACATTACTGCAACTTTCCTAAAAAAATACAGCGGTGCTGTTGAAACCCCTCGGCCTGAGTTTGTTGATATATTAGGTGCAAAATTACAAGTACATGTAGTAAAATAGTTAATACTGGTCAATGGAATGACCTAGACCTTGACCAATGACATTGACCTTTGACCTTTTGACCCCCAAATCAATCCAAACTTGATTTTCCTGAAGGGCAACCCCTGAAGTTACAAACCCGAATCATATTTCTAACTCAAATTATCATCGGGAAACAATTTACCTTCAACTCACCACTGATATACTCACCCAAAAATAAGAAAATAATTTTCTTACATTCTTCTAGTTGGGTAAAGTAGAGATTATTTATTTATTAATTAAAAATTTGCTAACTTTAAATAACTTTTTTAGTGTTAACCTGGAATTTTCCAAGATTTACGCAAGTGCGCTGTGTTAGGGAACACTAAGCTGATTTTTGGCCCAATTTCCGGTCGCCAAAAATTTTGCTCAAAATTGTATGACAGTGAAATTGTTTACAGAATTTAAATGGCAAACACTATTGAAAAAGTACCAGTAATAACTGAATGAATTCGAAGTTTATCAACAAAGAAGTTTGGCAACCGTGCATGAGGAAAGTCAGGAGAAACGTCGCAGTGCGCCACGTTAGGGAACACCACTATATGTGTGCATTGATACTGGGTTCTTAATTGGGGTAGGTGCGGTGAACTAAAAACAATAGGCCCTGGCCCTGCTGACTATATGACTATACAATCATGGAGCTATAAAAAGAGGTCTTACCCAACAATGTATGCAAAGCATTCCAAAATACTCCGGAAAGACTCCCATACCTCAGACGTCACTGACCAACAAAGACTAGGAAATGTCCTTTGACATGTTTTCTCAGTAGGCATGCCATTGGTAGCAACTTTTCCCTGCTATAAATCCCACATTTTTGGACACATTATCCCTTTTAATGGTGATATAGGTCACTGTAGGGAAAAATTAGTGATGTCCAGATAAATGGGAATCTTTCCAGTACGCCGAAAAGAAGTTGAATTTTGAGAAATAAATAGTCCAGACTTACCTGACGTACAGGCCTATATAGCCTACCGCTGCATTATCTGCTGCATAATGTTGATCGATAACCAAATAACAGGTGGCGCTCTTTACAATTAACGGTGTCAGGTACAATCTCATTCAAGTGATGTTGAGCGGTACGCGTTGATAAGTCATCAGTGTGCTCTGCATCCTGTATGTGCTCCACAGTTGACATCCTTGGTAGAACCTTCAAACTCTGTCAACTTCAAGAAACAAAGGAAAACAAGTTATTTTAACATCTTAACCTTCTAATTCATAAGGTTTAGTTCAAATATTGTTTTCATCTGCTATTATTGGAAAGGGCATTGTTTGAAGAATTTGGTTGACAATAATTACTGTGAAATTTGAGAAGCAATTTCCCAAAAAAATGACAAATTTACAAAAGATAAAAATGGGGCCTGTAGGGCCTGACCAAACTTCCTGAACTTAGTTTAAAACCCTTACACTTACAATTGACATGTTTTCTCAGTAGGCATGCCATGGTAGCAACTTTTCCCTGCTATAAATCCGACATTTTTGGACATATTATCCCTTTTAATGGTGATATAGGTCACTGTAGAGAACAAATTAGTGATGTCCAGATAAATGGGAATCTTTCCAGAACGCCGAAAAGAAGTTGAATTTTGAGAAATAAATAGTCCAGACTTACCTGACGTACAGGCCTATATAGCCTACCGCTGCATTATCTGCTGCATAATGTTGATCGATAACCAAACAACAGGTTGCGCTGTTTACAATTAACGGTGTCAGGTACAATCTCATTCAAGTGATCTTGAGCGATACGTGTTGCCATGGTGATACGTCATCACTGTGCTCTGCATCCTGTATGTGCTCCACAGTTGACATCCTTGGTAGAACCTTCAAACTCTGTCAACTTCAAGAAACAAAGCAAAACAAGTTATTTTAACATCTTAACCTTCTAATTCATAAGGTTTAGTTCAAATATTGTTTTCATCTGCTATTTTTTGGAAAGGTCATTGTTTGATGAATTTGGTGTACAATAACTGTGAAATTTGTTGATAAGGTGTGAAATTACAAGTACATGTAGTAGGATAGTTACTGGTCAATGGAATGACCTAGACCTTGACCAATGACGTTGACCTTTGACATTTTTTCGATCGATGATTTTCAGTTCGCTCGCTGTGTTTTGATGGACGTTCATGACGTTTTTGTACTTAGTGTTTTGTGCTGCAAACAATTTTGCGGGGTTCTGTGTCTATGAGGCTCCGCTCACGCGAAGCATCATGATATAGTTCTTCTAGGAGTAGGGCCTGACCATACTTCCTGAACTTAGTTTAAAACCCTTACACTTACAGTTCTGAAAGAATTACTATACAATCATGGAGCTATAAAAAGAAAGTCTCACAATGTATGCAATTAAAGCATAATAACCCCCTAGGCCCTTTTCGCTTAGAACCATCCTCAATCCTCCAAAATTGTGCAACGTTACCCCACCTTTGATTCAATCACCATTCATCCTCAATCCTCCAGAATCCTCATTTGATTCAATCACCATTCATCCTCAATCCTCTAGAATCCTCATTTGATTCAATCACCATTCATCCTCAATCCTCCAGAATCCTCATTTGATTCAATCACCATTCATCCTCAATCCTCCAGAATCCTCATTTGATTCAATCACCATTCATCCTCAATCCTCCAGAATCCTTCTATGCTTCAATCACCATTCATCCTCAATCCTCCAGAATCCTCATTTGATTCAATCACCATTCATCCTCAATCCTCCAAAATCCTCTTGTGCTTCAATCACCATTCATCCTCAATCCTCTAGAATCCTCATTTGATTCAATCACCATTCATCTTCAATCCTCCAAAATCCTCTTGTGCTTCAATCACCATTCATCCTCAATCCTCCAGAATCCTCATTTGATTCAATCACCATTCATCTTCAATCCTCCAAAATCCTCTTGTGGTTCAATCACCATTCATCCTCAATCCTCCAGAATCCTCATGTGATTCAATCACCATTCATCCTCAATCCTCCAGAATCCTTCTATGCTTCAATCACCATTCATCCCCAATCCTCCAGAATCCTCATTTGATTCAATCACCATTCATCTTCAATCCTCCAAAATCCTCTTGTGGTTCAATCACCATTCATCCTCAATCCTCCAGAATCCTCATGTGATTCAATCACCATTCATCCTCAATCCTCCAGAATCCTTCTATGCTTCAATCACCATTCATCCTCAATCCTCCAGAATCCTCATGTGATTCAATCACCATTCATCCTCAATCCTCTAGAATCCTCCAAAACCGCCAGGAGGATTTTGGAGGAGTGAGGTGGGTTAGGGTTAAAAAGTACTCCGGAAAGATTCCATACCTGGAGTTCTGGACATTTAGTGAAATGTCCTTGGTGTTTTTTTCAGACAGTAGGATGCTGGCAGAGGCAGTAAGCATGTAGGATGGAACGCCGTATTATCGCGGTACTTATCACGTTTCTTGTTTGGACTAGAGATTGCCCGCTAACCTTCCCGAATTGTCCAGTTTCTTAGGTTGTATAACTCTTCCTTTTCAAATGCCTGTGATAAAAATGCTCGGAATATGCGAATGGAGGTGGACTCCCTATTATCGCGGTATGTGGGAATTGTGGTTTTTATAATAATCTCAACCTTTTTTTTTTCATAGTGAATGTTTTACCAAAACATCCCCTGAATAAAGTCTGATATTTTCCCTGTAACGTTCAAGTTGATTAAACTTTGAAAGACTATATCCCAGCAGGATGATTTCTTAAAACCCTGCCCTTCCCCGAAAGGAGAAAATACTGTGATGACAAGTCTACTGATTGGCGATGGGGGCGCCATTCAGTTTACACATCCCCAGTGTGCCGTTTTATTTTTTCTTACGCGCTGTCCTTATTTTGATCCTGTAAAAGTTTTTACGATTTCGCTGTGGAAATAACGTCCTTCGACTTCATTTTGTGTTTGCAGCTGTAGAAGGGGAACCAGACAATGGAACTTTCATGGACAGAGCACCATTAATGATTTATGTTAAACTATAGATGGTAGGCCTACCTTTTAGTTTAAGCAGACACGGTCATGACGGTGAGGGAAAATTTGCAGGTTTTGGAAAATGTGAATATTTATTAAAAATCGTTAAAGTCCCGAAAGACACAACATTTTTTAATCGGCCTTTTTAAATGACTCGGCAATAAGTCGTTATGGCCTGGAGAACTGGATAAAAATCGCCACTTAAAGGGGTTTAGGCAACACAAGAAGAGAAATTTTCCATGCCGCGATAAAGCCTAGGGATGCCGCGATAAGGGAGTCCGACTATTTTATCAATCTCATGACGAGGCCTTAGCTGGAGTTACCCAGCCCTGAGTTTTATCATTGGGTTGTCTATAGACAACCCAATGATAAAACTCAGGGCTGGGTAACTCCAGCTAACGAGGCCTATAGTTTTTTGGTAACAAATTTTCCTGCTAAATCCAAAAATTTTGGACATTTTAAACCGGAATTGTGGCATAAATCACTGAAGGGAGAAATGAGTAATGTCCAGATATGGGAATCTTTCCAGTACGCCGAAAGGAAGTTGAATTTTGACAAGTAAATAGTCCAGGCTTACCTGACAAAACATGCTTGGTGTACAGGCCTAGCCTGCCGCCACATACATTATCGGGAAAACCAAACAACAGGTGGCGCTCTTCACAATTAACGGTGTCAAATACAATCTCGTTTACGTAGTGTTGAGCGGTACGCACTGACAGGTACTTAATACGGGAAATTAAGTTACGACATAAAGTTAACCCTGGGGACAAAGTTGCGAAAAAGTTTCGAAGTCCGAATTTTCCCATCATGCATTGAGAAATCCCAATTCCTTTCTCGATAGGATTTGGGATTTGGGAATCGTTATTCGTTATCCGTTTTGCTGTCGAGAATGGATTTTGGATTCGAAGTCCGTTATCCGTTTTTCTTTTTGCTTAGGAAATGGGAATTGGTTTCGTTATCCGTTTTTCTTTTTGCTTAGGAATTGGGTTTCGTTATCCGTTTTTCTGTTTGCTTAGGAATTGGGAAATGGTTTCGTTAGGAAGGAATTAATGCGACCGGGAATTTACGGGTTATGAGATTGTCACTTTTCACACCGTTAATTGTGAAGGGCGCCGCCTCTTGTTTGATGATATCCCATTATTGTCAGCAGTCTAGTCATGGCAGTCACTAGGCGATGTAGCAGACAACTCGATCGATAACGTACATGTAAGTCATCACGTCTAGACTTTTTATTCACACTTCAATTAGTCAATTCATTATAGGCAGAGCATTTGAAGAGTACATTTGCTTAAAAAAAGCAGATAAGAGCCAATATTACATTCTATAGTTGTACCAAATTGGAAAAAACCCACCAACTAAATATTTTCAGTATAAATCCTTACTTTTTTTAGGACCCCATTCCTATATAAGGTTAAAAGACTCACCAAAACAGCTGACTAAATGACACTCAAAAGTGACATTCTGATATTTATTGACACATTTGACAATTTGGCAATGACACCTCTTGAATATCAGCAGGTTTGATTTTGTAGAAAGAGGGCAGGGTTTTGATTTATGAGGGGTTAAAGACGACGATGACAAACAGAAAATAAATTTAAAAAGCAATTGAGATGGCAAACTGCAAAAAAAGGTAGGAAAGTCACATTTTCTTTGAAAGTGCTTTCAAAATTATAACTAACATGAGTTTGTCTGAAGAAAAAAAAGACTTCTTTAGCCGGCCAAAGTCACTTTGGTACTGGACAGTCATCTGCAAAAGTCAGTTTTGAACAGAACTCGTACAAAATAGAGGCGTCCTAAAAGTAAGGATTACCATATTTTCCCTGATCACCTACAATCATTTTTCAAATTCAATGAACTGAGCAGTGACTGAAAGTATACAAAATAAAATGCGCTTAAAGTCCGATTCCGGAATGGGAAAGATTTCCATATAAGTTCACTAATTTTCCTCTGTATTGACTAACAAGCCCCCAGATAGCAATTTCATGTCATCAAAGTCAATTTGAGCAGTGAGAAAATACAAGCATTACATGGGAATCGATTATTCGTTTTCCGTCAATTGTCCGTTTAACTGTCGAATTGGAAAATGGGAATCGTTATTCGTTTTCCGTTTGGCTGTCGAATAGCCTTAACATCCAGAAGTGGACTTTGCTGAGTACCCGCGTAGATGTAGATAGAAAACACTTAGAATTTTTCAGTCCAATCCAGGGTTTGTACACAGGGTGTTGATGTTAGTACTATATGGAAATCTTTCCCTGGAATGTTATTTTGTGCGTTCCAGAACTACAACAAGGCGGGAGTCTGTGTCATGTTGTATGTTTGCATGTACACTACAAGCGGCAGCTGTACCGGCCGTACTGTATTCGCAAAGTAACGTGTACATAAATTGTGCATAAAATTGTGACTCAAGTCGACTCGAGTCATTACAACTCTGACCAATGCCTTTTCTTAACATAGACATTGACAAAATGAGAGACTAAAACACAATGGAGCTTGGTCAAGCTCAGTTGGTAGAGCACTGGAACGGCAATCCGGAGGTCCCAGGTTCTATTCCCTCTTCCTTTCAATTTGTGGATGGTTGTATTTCCCTGTACAGGCCACAGATTATTGCATTGACTGGTCACCCTGGATGCAGGCCTGCCCTGGTTCACTTCGTCTCCCGTATCACCAAGAGCACAAGCCTTCTCATATGCGGAGCAGTGCTGATCGTAAGTAATCTGCTAAAGTTGCAATTTGTCTGTGATTTGACAAAAGCTTGTCCCTGTGAAGCATTATTGTATTAGTTGAGTACCTTTTTACAAGTCTTGTGTACCTCTGGTGAATTATTTTAATGAATATTTCGATGAGTATTTTGAGTGCCGAAATGTGTACTCACAGTTGAGTATACTTGAAGAAGACTTTGCGGAATGAATTTTGATGAACAGTTTGAGTAAAATGCAAGCAGGTCTTTAAAAAATTAAGTCAAAGTTGCAAAATGTATAACAAGACCATTAAACCAGATTTGTCCAGGTTTTTCGCTTTTTGCAGCGCTAACGTTGGTCTTTTCCAAGACCTGGACACAATTTATTTAGAGCAAATGCATTCAAATGTTCTTTCCTGATTGGTTTCCGTCTAGATTGGTGGGTTGGGTAAGATCAAGACCAACACAATCATCAAGGAGCTCTCCAAAGCCTGGATGCTGGATGAGGAAGCAGCCTGGAGACCACAGAGAAGTTTCCTTAGAAGATCAGCAAGGAAGAAGTCACCACGCTCAAAGAGAAGGTAGAATCTCCTCCTTGCGCTCATTATTTTAGCAGCACCCCCCCCCCCCCCCCCACCTTGAAAACTGTAAACTATATATTTATTTTTGTGTAAGTTGGTCAGTAGTGCAGAATGATTCACATGTTAACTAATGCATGCAAAATAGAGAAAAAAAAGTAAATTTTAATGACTATCATCCCACCCTATATTTTCAGGCTATAGAAATGTCAAACCCCTCAAAACAGAGTTTTACCTATCCTACCACACAGTTGTTTTTTTTTTATATGTAATAGAAAACACCACACTTTTTGTTCTTGGATGGCCTTATTATTTTAATATATGTTTCAGTGTCCAATTCATTTCATGGAGCCTTTCAGAGATCTCTCAGGTTATTCTGGATGGCTGCATGTCTAAGGAAACACATGCTTTATGTCAAAGGGAAATATAATGCTCTGTATAATTTTTGTTTGGGAACCCCCCCCCCCCACCTCCACCCCACCTCCCACCACCCCCAGGCTTGACCTACTCATCCCTCACCTCATCTCCCTGAAATCCAACTGGGAGAAATGCAAGCTGTGCGTCTTTGCCGCCACGGACAAGAAGGAGCAAATGGACAGGGAGAAGATGAACATGGCCAACATGCTCAGCAAGTTCCGCGAAGCAACCAACCCCAGTAGGCTGGTTCCAAATAGTCAACTAGCGTAGTCAACCACCGTTGACTAGACAGAGTTCGGGCAAACGTTAGTTAACCATTGGTCAACTATAGTCCTTGCACGAACTTGGCCCAAGGTGGGGTACTATTTTGCTTTTTTGGTGTCTTCATGTACATTGGTGTCCTCCATAATTTGCCTTGGTGCTCTCGATGGTGCTCTCTAGCAATTTCCCATTCCTTGGTGCTCTTTGTTAAAAAAAAATTGAGGAGATGCGGCAATAGAGGGCGCTGTCGGAGCTACCGCGAAACATTTTGGAAAAAAAAGATTGACGCGCATGATTAAAATTGACGCGCGCGCCGACCAGAGACCGACTTTTTTTTTTGGCCTAATAGAAAACACCACACTTTTTGTTCTTGGTTGGCTTTATTATTTTGTTTCAGTGTCCTATTTATTTCAGGGAGCCTTTCAGAGATCTCTCAGGTTATTCTGGATGCTTTATGTCAAAGGGAAATAATGCTCTGTATAATTTTTGTTTGTGAACCCCCCCCCCCCCTCAACCCCCACCTCCTACCACCACCCCCCCCCCAGGCTTGACCCTACTCATCCCTCACCTCATCTCCTTGAAATCCAACTGGGAGAAATGCAAGCTGCGCGTCTTTGCCACCACGGGCAAGAAGGAGCAAATGGACAGGGAGAAGATGAACATGGC